GAACCGTGCTAAGCTGGGGATTGCTTGTACGTTGCTGAAGACAGTGATTTCTAGGTGAGCAAAGGTCACATCAGACTTTATAGGAAAACTTCTTCCCCTTCCCAGCACAACATGAGATATGGTTTTGTACGATATATATATATATATATATGTGTGTGTGTGTGTGTGTGTGTGTGTGTGTGTGTGTGTGTGTATCAGGAAGCTTGTAAATTGTAAGCTGAATATATCATAAGTTGAAAATGTATTCAATACTTGCAACTAAAACAAAAGTTGGGATCCAAATATTTCTGTAAGTTATACCAGCTACAGGGCTTACTCTGCCATCTATTTTTATCTTTCATTAACTTTCTTGGAAGATAAGGGGCTTTCAGAATCTGTGGAAAATTCTTAATTTTCAACTGCGGCACCTGTCCTTTTTCCTCCACCTCTCCTCTGTGACTCTCTGAAGATACATAGAGAACATTATCATTCTATCTTATGTGTCTCTTCACATTTATTTTACATTGGTCTTTATTTTATCTGAACCACATTGTGGATAAAGTTTTTTAGATCTATCTATGCTAGTTCATTTTCTTTTTAGTTGTGTCTAGACTGCCAAAGCTACCTGTTGAGTTTTTAATTTCACTGATTATATATATTTTTATTAATGCAAGTTCAGTTTGAATCCTTCCACAGTCTGCTTGAGTATTTCTATATGCTCTTTGTAGGCATATTTTAATCCTTTCTCTCATGTGTGTGTGTGTGTGTGTGTGTGTGTGTGTGTGTGTGTGTGTTTGGCACTGGGGATTGAACCCTGCGTCTTTGCACAGAGTGACATCCCCAGCATCGTTCTTGTTTGTTTGAGACATGGTCTCACTAAGTGCCTAAACTGGGCTCAAACTTGCAATCTTCCTGCCTCAGCCAGCCTCCCAGAGTCCTGGGATTACAGGTGTGTGCCACCATACTTGGATCCAGGCTTCTTTTTCATTAAAATGAACGAAGAAAGCTAGCATAGGCTATTCATAATCCAGCTCAACATTCATCTATTCACTGAAGGAGCACTTTGCCAACCAACTTCTATGTGTCTGACCATGGGAGTAACTTAATCTGTTTATTTCCTTCAGTGTTAAACCCAAGACCAAAATATGGTTTATTTAAGAATGAAGACTATCCTGTGCACTTTGCTTACATATCCTTTCTTTTTAAATGACATACAACTGATATGCATTTTCTAGCATATCTCCATTGTTTTTTCTGTCAAAAAGTTTTGATCCTGTAAGAGCTTTTGCGGGGGGACCTGCCATATACTGAGCAAGATCTGTACCGCTGAATTATACCCCAGCCCTAAGAGCACTTTTAAAACCCTGTTACCTTTTGGAAATTTCTCTTGAAGACTGTTTCTACTTCAAGTTGCATGCCTCTAGCCAGGGTGGACTCTGAGAAGAGTGTGGCTGGCTGTCTGTCTGTGTAGGTAGGAAACCTGGGTCGAATTCCTCTGTCCACCCCTTTGAGGCTTGAATTCTAACTACAGAAAGCTTTCAACCTTTTTGCTTATTCAGGTTCAAAAAAGGGTCAAACGAGGCAATGCTGATGAAAATATCCTGGAAAAATTTGAAATTTACAATTTAAAGGAAAATAAGAATCATTATTATTGTCCAGTAATATCCCAGACCAGAAAATAGCTTGCAAGGATTATTCTGTTGGCAATAATGGTCTGAAAATGCTCGACTCTGTGAAACTTTTTGCAGGACACACGCCTGTCTGGTTGCAGAGGTCAGTGGCATTGCTGTGACCTGCAGCCCTGCAGCACCTGGATCCTGCCTTCTTCCTGCGGGACTGGGGCTTCAGGTCTCTGGGAGAGCAGCCCGCCGTGGCCAGGAGCCCTACCCCTTGGTCCTGGGTGCACAGTGCCAGAACTGGCTGCTCTGTAAAGGGCGATGGCATCTGGGGTCAGTGTCAGGACGCGCTGACGGCAGAGGACACAGTGACAGGCTGAGCTGGGCAGTAATTAGACAGTGAGAGCTTCCTCTAGCAAGCTACAATCAATAGGTTCGCTCACCGAGGAAAAAGATTAGAGTCAAGCAGATGGCGGAAGATAATAACATTTCCCACTTAACTCACATTTTCACTTGTCAAAGTACCTTCACCACCATTTTCTCATTTAGTCCTCAGCACCTTTTTTCTCAGATTCTCTTGCAAGTGTAGCTGTCCGATTTTGTGGGCAAGAAGGCCGGAGGCCCCAGGGCCTTGCTGTAAGAGCTGGGACACACGCTTCCATTCTTTGAGCTGGTTTCCCCATCACTGGTACCTCGGGAAGAGTGCAAATACATTCACCAGTCTAACACATTTTTATTGAACACCTACTATGTAACAGTCAGTCACAGGCAGAGTAGATGTAACAGAGAATGAGACAAAGTCTTATTCTCAAAGCGGTTATATTTTAATAGATGTAGGATTGCTAGAAGACAATAAATTGGAATGATTTGATAGAGGGGAACCAGGGAGGCTAACTGAGTCTGGAAAGGGCTTTCTGAGGAAGCGATGGCTGGGCCTGGATATTTAGTTGACAGTTTTACGGGTCTTTCTAGTCTCTGGGGATTGAGGAAGAGGATGTTCTCTTGTCAAGAACAGAGATGCTGCATGGAAAGTTAGAATATCCTGGCCTCGGATTGCCCATCCTTAAAATGGACATAATAGTGTCAGTGTTATAGTCACTTTCAGTTATAGGCCCAGTGAAGATTCATGCAGAATTAGAGAGGTGCTGTTTAACCATGTCAGCAAGGGGTCAGAGACTCTTTACACGTTTAGTAAGTATTCAGTAGTTCCTATTTTAAGACAGGGTGGTGATTATACACCTGAAATCCCAGCACTGTGGGAGGCTGAGACAGAAGGGTCACAAGTTCAGCCTAGCAAGGGCAATTTAACAACTTAGTAAGATCTTGAGTTAAGTGAAAAGAGGCCTAGAGATGTAGTTCAGTGTAAATCCCTGAGTTCAATATCCAGTACTGGAACATAAATTTAAAAAATTATTTCTTTCACAGCCCTTCTCCCCTCTTGTGGGCAGAATCATTGTTAGCATCCTAATATATCAGCGTGGTGAATATCGAGGCACAGAGAATTTAAGAGACAAGATCCATGTCCAGATTTACTTGATTTCATTTGAAACTTTGTTTCCATATCCACAGTAGCAGTGACTTTTCAGACATATACAATGATATACATTTCTCTGCTGAAAAAGTCCTAATCAGGGATCTCAGATCATAGGATCTAAGTAGGATCTCCTGAACAGAGTTTACAGACCACAATGCAGAAGTTCTGTGAAAGAAGAGGCTAGGAAGATTATTTAGTCTTGTTTTCCAGCGAGTTACCTGGCCTTGTCAAGGTCATATGGGTAGCTCAGTTAAGGGCAGCCTTCCCTTTACAAAAGGCCCCTGGTGGCCAGGCCTCAGAGTTTGTGTCATTTGCATTCAGATTGTCAGTCAGTTCTAGTCACCTGCCAAGAAAGTTGCAAGCCTATGACTTTTTTCTTTAAGGTGAGAGAAAGAGTAATAAAACCAGTTAAGCTCTTTTAGTGAGGCTGGGGAAAATGAAGTCAATAGTTTCAGAGAGAAGCACAACACTTTTTTTTTTTTTTGTACTGGGGATTGAACTCGGGCCCTTGAGTTTGTGAGACAGGCAGCAGAACCACTGAGCTAAATCCCCAGCCCTAAACACAACACATTTTGACACCATTCATTCTAGCATAATGTATATTCCTTTCCAGGCTGCCAGGATAGCTCAGAATGTGGAATAGACACAGCCAAGGGGAGCTCACCCTTAAGGCTCCTTGAAACCTCTGCTCCCAGGACCCTGTCCTCAGTCTTGGCAGCACATTGTACCATTGGGGAGCTTTATCAAGCTCTACTGCCCAAGCCCTATCCCAGACATTCTGATCAGTCATTCTGGGTGGAGGCCTAGACGCCAAGGTGTTTCTAATCTCTGCAGGCAAATCGTAGGTACTGTTAAGGTTGACAACAAGGAACTGTAAGGGGCCTTCCAGGCAAGCCAGGAAGGAAAATATGAATAAAACAAAGAGAAAAGGTCACTTCATGGATTGCCTGCATTATCTGTGCTGGGACAGTCATCCCTAATATGGTCCACTACCCAGTGTGTTTTGCACTGAAAATTCTATGTCCCTGGAAATCTTTCATCCCAGCCAGGCAGGGCAGGTTGATTATCCTACCCCCAACCCAAGTTGACTCAATTCTTCTGCACAGCGAGAGGAGGAGAGCTTAGAACTTCCCACATTCAGGAGAGGGCAGAAGGAACAGTATAAGGAGCCTGAGCTGGTGGAGGACTAGGATCTGGGATCCCATCAAGGTGTGATGGATAATTTCATGACTTCCACTCCATGAAAGCCTACTGATTCTTTTCCTTGAAAAACTGAAAAGTTGGCTGAATTTTAGGCCAGGATTGTAATGAAATGTGTTACCTACAAGCTCTTTGAGGATGACAGGGACTTGAGACAGTAAGTCCCCCCAGAAGTGTGCAGATATTTTGTAAGAGGGCTTTGGACTTGGTGGAACTGGTGTGGTTTGGGGCTATTTTTATGTAAACTTTAGAGCAAGACTGCTCCCAGGTGACAGCTGAGTCACCCAGAGATCTATCATTAGGCACCTTTGACTTGCAAGACTGTGCCTGCCCTGTGCCCTGGGTGCACAGAGGTGGAAAGCCTGAGGTTCCTGCAAAAAGGCCTTGTAAAGGTTGTGTTGGGGTGGGGAGGAGGAGGGGCAGCCAGTCTGGCCTGGATGGGGCACCTGGAAGAGGGGAATGAGCTTGGTCAGCGTCACAGAGCACTGGATCCCATGTGATGTCCTATTATAAATGATAAATCATGGCATCTAAAAAGTGGCCATTGGCCAGCAGTCTGACATAGCGAAATGTGCAGAAATCCCTCACAAAATGACCTTGCATGCCACTCACTGTGAAGATGATCAAACTTGTGGTTAGAAACAGTCTCATTTTCTTTCTTTCTGTTCCAGGCTTCCATCCCCATGCTGCCCTTGCCATCCCTGAAGAACCAAATCTGTAAACTTTCCGACTGGTCTTTGGTGCTCTGATGTTTCAGAGGGAAGGAAAACACCTATTAAAAATGTTCGTTCCGGGCGGATGGCTGCTTCCTGCAGCCTCCAGAGCCAGGGTAATGAATCTAGAATCTCTGGTCGTTGCCCAAATCTCAGAGGCTAGTAATTAAATTTCCGCTAACAGTTTGTTTTATCACCTCAGTTAGCTTGTTGACATATAATAGATGCTGCTGAGAGGTACGTCTAGTTAATGATTTTCTTTTACATATTGATATTAGTACCTGGAGTGGGAACATCTCCTCTTCAGAATATGATTACTATTTTGAAATCTTGAGCGCAGGAGGGAAATCCGTTTCTATAAATTAAACAAGAAGTTCTGAGAACTTCTATCTTCCGTTCCCATCCAGACACTAATGCATCTCATTTACTTTGTGCTCTTTCCCTGAGTTATCTGTGTCACACAGACGACTCTTGCATGTCACGTTAACTATCTATTGAAAAAAAGCTCGAAGTGTGCTGGTAACAGCGCCCTGAGCCAGGATGCGAGGTAGGGAGCAGAACATGAAAAATTCATCACTGCTACATTTCAAGTTGCTTGGATGTTTTAATTCGAAGAGGAAAGAACCTGTGTCAGCTAAAGATGGTGCTATAATTAAACTGATACGGCACTTGCAATTGGCTCCAAACCTGCTCAAGTTGTCATTTGTTTCTTTTCCCCATCTTTAAACTACATGAAATCAATTATCTCTGCAAACCAGTGGTCAGGATTGTATGGAAACCACTTACTCCTGAAGTGAATAAATTATTCAAAATTCATGGTTGATGTGAACAATTTGTTAGAGGCAAAAATCCCATCCTATTATTTGGGTGTGGGATCAGGAAGGTACGACCCTGGTTCTTGTCTCAGATGCCCATTGCCTTCCTATCACAAATGCTGGGGCCGGGGGTGGGGTGGGGATGGCAGTACAAGGCAGGCTTTGCCTCCAGAGTGATCCACCCCTTAATGTGTGTGGCTTTACACATAGTGACAATCGTGTCCCCTGCATACTGCAGAGTGACAGCTCCAGGGTCAAGGAGAGCAGACATCCTGGTCTGAAAATACCTCCATGTGTCAAGGGTGCCAGCCACCTGCAGCAGTGATCGGCACTGGTGTCTACAGAATCTGAAACAGAGTTGATGTGATGTCATTTTGGTTCTCCTATACCCTGGTTATCTCCTGCCAAGACTTCACGTCTGATTAGTCTGCTCGGAGGGGACAGCGGACTTTATCAGCCTCACTTTCCAACACTCCATCAACTTCAGAAATGCAGTGAAGGAATTTAAAATGAGGTGTCACATCTTCCTATCAAATTCCTTTGTGAGCCACCCCCGAGTCAGGAGCCTCTTCTAGAAAGCCTTAATAAAGTGGGAAATGAAGTTTGGGATGGTTTCAACCTGGCGATGCAGTCTGCAGTTCCGTCTTCAAGTCCTGGCTACTCTGGGTTGGTCCCATGGAGTGTCAGCCGTGCTGCTGGGGTGACAGCAAACACAGATCCTTTACAGTTCTGGATGAGGGTGAGGCCTGCTGGAGATGAGCTGTTGATGTCCCTATTTGAGGGTGGGGAAGTCCTCCAATAAACTGCTGACAAGGACATCCTCCCAGATGGTTGCCTGGTATTTTGCTGCTCTTAGTTCCAGAGTCTCTGGCAGGGCCCAGACCACCCAGGGCTTGCTAGGGGTCTGATCCTTCCAAGCTCCCTGGCAAAGGAAGGAGGCTGGTTTTGGTGCCAGTGTTTCACTCTCCTCCTCTTCCACTGCAATGGCTGTCCCCACAGCAGGTCTGTGACCTTCCCTCATCCTGAAGCAAAAAGATGTGCAACAGCAGGGTTGGGCAGTAGGAAAGTTAGGATGTCCAAGAACAATTATATTGGCGTCTGTGGGCAAGGGCCTTCTCAGATTCACTTGGAAGACATTCAGGGCTAGGATGCCACATTATTTTGATAAAGACCAGGACCATAAACTCATTTACAAGGGCATACATAGTACAAATTCAGTGCATGGCTCCTGATTCTAGAGAATTTTATTGTAAACAAGAACCTGTAGAGACTGGTGCTAAATCCAGCAGAATGAGTCTCTAGCACCGGAATTGCAGACACTGAAAGATCTGAACCCTGGTGATATCTTTGTCAGGGTGCTTTTGTCATACTCTCTGAACATTGCTATCTTATTTGGTAAAATGGGGATTATAATATCAGCCTTACTAAGTCTTAGCTCTGTCAGAGTTATAGGATGTGATGACCAAGGACACGCAGGTGAAATGACACAGATACTAAAGAACTAACATACTATAAGAAGATGTTGTTTTGCTTAGTGGACAAAGTTCAGACCTTTAGCACATTTAGTCTAGAAAGGAGAAGCTGCTAGGTGATCTTCAAACACTAATTCTGTCCCACTGAATTGCATGTAGGCTCTGAGCATTGCTCTGTCCTTTGGTGCTGTCCTTGGCAGGAGCGATATGATCACCTTCATTTCCTCTCTCAGGCAGAGTTGAGTTGCAGGAGATATACAGCACTTTCTACATTGAAAGTGGAAAGGTGTTTAATACACAGCGCTTATGAAAACATGGGGAGGGCTCCAGGAACAGTCCAGAACCCAATCACAGACCAGCCTGCCAGCAGGTTGCTGCTCCTGCTACTGTCAGGAGGTGGCAGGTCAGACAGGCAGCACCAAAATTAGTGCAAGAAGACGTCACCAGGTTGGCAATGTAACCCAAGGTTACAGTACTCACCTTGCATGCACAAAGTCCAGAGCTTGATTCCCAGCACCACAAAAGGAAAATAAAAAAAAAAAAAAAAAA